TTGCTATCTATGTTTCCTGAAAATTTCATGTCAAAAGGATGAAAACTAAGGAAGGAGTAGGGAAAAAGCTGCAAAAAGTTTCATTTTGTGAAAACTCACTATATTAATCTATCCTCATGTTTTCAAAGGCAGTTTACCAGGAAAATAATAATAATAATAATAAATAGCATTTGTATAGCGCATATCCTCGCTCAACAGCAGGCTCTATGCGCTTTACACTATATTATTACCCCAGCAGACCATAGAACACTCCGAAACATTCTCAGCTTCCCAGGAAGCATACAGTGCAAGCAGCTGATTAAGCGCTCAAACACTAACAAACTGACAAGATCTTTCGCTGTCTATAGCCGGGTGCCCATTCCCACCTGGGTGAAGTGAGGAAAATTCGTGTAAAATGCCTTTCCCAAGGACATAACGTCGGGTCCTTGACGGGATTCGAACCCACGACCTTACGGTTGCGAGTCCGAGAGCCTAACCACTAGGCTACCGACGAATAAAGACTTTCTCAGTTGTATTCAAGCTATTTTTAGACAAAAAACTGGTTGATCTTCAAAAATCAGCTAACATAAAATTTGCATAGCCTGACTCAAAATCTGCAAAATCAAGGGTCACCCCTTAAAGCCGTTTTCTCAGTGATTTCTAATATTGCTACTATGGTCAACCCATTTGAATGCTGTTTAAGCATCACAGTTGTTCATTGGTTATCTCAACTGCCATGACTTTGGGGAGGGAGTGTCCGGTATGTTTTTAAGGGCTTTTTTTTTCAATGATTGCTGTGTTAATGTTCCTGACTTAAAGTAAAGTTTAAGACTTGTCCGTCATTATGATGTGGCTAGGTATAGACTAAACCAACTCTCGAAAATTTGCGGATTGAATCCATGTGGGGTCTAAATATTTCTCACCATGTCTGTAATACAGTGGAATCCTGCTATAACGAGAAGGAGGGGACCGGTGCGAAATGTCCGTTATACAAGGATTCTCGTTATAAGGAATCCAGTAATAAATTCAATGGAAACAATAAAGTAGGCCTAATCTATGAGTTTGGTGTTCTGTTTATTTCTTTTTGTTATCTCCACTGATGATGACATTGTTCTACATGACCTCTAGGTCTTAGGCCCCTACTTGATCAAAAATCGAATCGGGTTTCTTTCTCTACCGCTAGCGATGTTGACAGCACGGCGTTGGCGATCAGAAAGAATGCGCTCTGGGCTAACTGGCCAGCTGTGTTGTCCCCCACCCCACCACACCCCGTGGTGTGTTTAGTCTGCTTACTGGCCTGTGCGCTGTGACAGCAGCAGCAGTATTCTGCTATAACCGACTCCCATGTTTGTCCGATAGTACTATAGCAGTATTTTATTTACAAAGATAAAGAAGGGAAAAAAACGGGGTTTTCGAATAGTGTCTTTATAACAGACTTCTCGTTTCAGGACTCGTTATAAGTGGACTCCACTGTATTTCTCTCTGCCCAGTGCCATGACATGTGATCAAGTCCTCACCAGCAAAAAAAACTTAGTTCGCAAAAGTTGTGATAGGTGAGGGATGGGCAAAACATTTCAGATGGGGGCGGGTGGCTGGAGAGCACCACTGGTTGGTCATACTTCTTGACTTTCCCTCTGTTATTTCTGTCTTTTCGTCTGTCCGTTTTACTTTTTCCCACCACTAAGTGACCATTGTGTCGATGTGCTTCTCTTTACTCAAACAATCAAGATGAGGTAGGGAATACTTCAACACGGTTTTGAACAGCATACTATAAGTATAAGTTATAAAACTAGACAAAGAATGCTTGATGGCCTTACTTTGGTATCTTTTTAAAAAAAGTTTTTTTTTCCGTTGATGGCTTGGTCGTCGTTAGACATTGAAGGACGAACTATTGACGCTAATAATGCTATTTATTAGTAGTAGTTGTAGTAGCAGTAGCACAGTGGAACTCGGATTAAACGAAGTCGTCAGGCATGACCTTTAATTTAGTTGAATCCGAGTGTTCATTATAGTTATAGCAAACATGAGGTTTTTGATTAGATAATTACAGGTACAGCGCAAGTAATGTATAATAATGTATTTTCTCAATCAGAAGTAGTTTGGTTTTAAATGAGAGACATTTTTGTTTCTTTAATACCGAAGAAATACTGGAGAATTCCAGGAAAATACACTGAACTCTACCAAGCACAAACTGAAAAAGGACAGATTCCTTCAAATGCATGCCTGTGTCATCTATCATCTATAACATATTATTTGCCAAACAAGTTATGTTGCTGTGTATAGCGTAGCATACAGCAACGTTTGATTCCACAGTCCAGCGCGCAATTCATTACATAGATCTATGTCAAAATTAGCTTATTATTGTAATATTGATCTGTAGCTTGGGAAAAATTACTGTGTCGCGTTTCTGTCTCTACTGACGTTTCACACCCACGCCGCTTGTGCCCCCTCCCCCCATCCCCCCAGACACACGCACATAAAGTCACGCGTCACATGTGTGCTAGCCGCCCGTCCCACCCTGACACACGCTAAGACATGGGTGCATGCTTTAAAAACACGTGTGTTGGTATGAAAGGAGGCCGCTGATTGGTCTCATAAAGCAGTTCATATTGCACGTGACTTCGTTGAATCCGAGCAAGCAAATTTATGTGTTCGTAAAAATCCCGAGTTATTTTTATTGATTTTTTTAAATTAAAAAAACCGGAAATGCAATTCCTTTAGTTGAATCAGAGTTTTTGTTGAATCAGAGTTCGTTGAAAAAGAATTCCACTGTAGTACTAGTACTAACTACCACGACCGGTACTATTATTATTACCATTATTATTTTGAGATTTTTATTATTATAATTATCATCATCATCATTATTATTGTTGTTGTTATTATTATTATTAGGCTAATATTTTTATTAACATTATTATAATGAATATAGCGTTAATTCATAATTGCTTTTTTTGCTTCTATATTGCTGTCAGAGGGCCAATTTTTCTTTAACTCTTTGTCTATGTGAATTTTAAAAATTTTGTTTTTTTTAGAACTGGGTGTTTTCACAGGAAGTGGCAGAACCAGCATGGTACAAGGGATGGAAAGATGGGTTATTAACCAAATGAACACCAGAATGATCAGCAGATGGACTCTGAGGTGGATATTTGATCGGGGAGCAGAGCACTCATGGCAATGACCGGAGTGCTATGATGTTGTTCCCAGGATCAAGTAATCAAATAATCAAGTAATGGTTATTTTACGATTGAAGATACACTGCTTTGGAACATTATTTTTTTTAATGTACAATTCAGTTTTCGTTTTCCATTCTGTTTTCCTTTTCTGCAACTTAAAAAGGCAGGCAATAACATACAACATACCATGAAATGTGCAAATTTGTGTGATGGTTCAGAATGTGCCGCAACACTCCCCCTGGTCTACTGCTGGTCAGAAATATTATGTTTTCTACCTCCGTAGAGTGTTAAGAACTTTTTCCACTTTGGGACTAACTCAGTAAAGAGTAGAGATGAACATGTTCCGACTGTAAAGACCCCAACACTGTGGACAAGGTGTGACAAGGTGTTCAGTAAAGAGTGCAAAGGTGGCTGGGGTCATATCTAGCTCAACTACATTGCGGGTGACTCTGTTTCAAAGCCCTAACTGGGAATCTTGAAGTTGGGTTGTTTGAAGAGTTTTCAATTTCAAGGCTGTCAACCCACTTGACGAGATTCTATTGGAGGTCCCGCCTCTTAAAGGTTCATTCAGTGTTTATAGGGGTATTACCTTTTTTAAACCTTCTCCACACTTTCACGCAGTTGTAATCAAAGATAGTACAAGACAAGATGGGCCACTTCTCTCTTTGAGCCAATTAAAAAAGTGTCCTCAAAATTTGGTGGCGCCCTCTTCACAAAAGCGCACTCTTTGCGAACAGAGTTACCCTACTTGAGTTTTTAAAAATCAAAGTGAAACTAGCATGTTTTGGGATAAATTTCGGAAGAACGCTTTTTTTAAATGGTTACGCTGACAAAAAACCTTTTCCGGAGGAAAGGGTGATGGTTTTCTTCTTTTAATTTGACTTTAGAATGAAAGGCGAGAGGTCATTAAAATTTAAAAAACCCTAAAACTACGCACTGAACGTACCCGAACTGCTGATGAACAGCAGTCGATCTGCGCACGCACGAAGGTGCTATTCCTATTCTTCTTCTGGAAAAACGAAAGAGAGCTTCAAAACAGACTGCAGCGCCATCTGAAGCAAAGAGCATACTTCCTGCGGACACTTTTTTGGCTGAGTGAACCATCTTGTTATGTACTATCATTGTTGTAATTAAATGATATAAGGTAAGCGATGAATAACTTAATAAACTGTTTGCTTTTTTTTCTTTGTTCTTCATAACTGTAGTAGTAAAATGTGGCAAACTGTTCTCTGCCACAATTGATCTCATTGGTCAAAGAGGCTTAGCCACAAGTCATTGTAATCCTTCTTTCTTCTTCTCTCCTCTGATATGCGTTGGTCATCATCGGGTATTGACGGATGAACTATTAATATATGTCACGACTCCGTGGAATCAGGCGCTCGTCAATTTTTGGGCATGTGGAGTTATTGGTGTTACTATAAAGCTTGTTCAATTGTCTATCTTTAGTTGAAAAAAGTATTCATCTATCTTTAATCGAAGTCGAAATATTTGTGATTGAAGGAAGTAGGGTAGATTTCAGATGTAAAATAAACGAGAAAATGGCTACCAAAGCTTGGTATCTTTTAATGCATGAGAGTCCTTGAAAACTGAAAATTTACATTTTTTGTACCTTTAATCAAAGTTTTTCAGAATAATCCATACGAAAATGTGTTTTTAAATGGATATAAAAGCTGTTCAGCTAAAAAACTAAAATTTTATAAAAATTGCCATTGATTTCATTATTTGGACGAGAGCTTGATTTCACCATGCTGCCTCACATATTATTCATAATTTAGTGGTGATTTATAATAGCCACACAAGACAGTTCAAGACCTTGAGATTTTAAAAAAGTACAATGACTCCGTGGACTATATCGGCAATAGATTTATTTGGCAATAAAGGGGCTAATAGTCTAAAAAGAAATACAGAAACAAAGCTTATAACAAAGAACGGGAGGGGAAAAAATGATAAAAGGAAGTTTCTATTCTCAAAATGTTTTCAAAACTTTTGTTTTCCCTTTTGGTAGAGAATAAGGGATTAAAGATTTAGTTTAATTGATCTCTATAAGTTATGGCAGAGTACATGAACATTGTATTCCTCCAGATAAGACTTTGAAAAGTTAGGTTTAATTGCTGATTTTTTGGTCGATATTTTTGCATACGTAATTGTCATTGAAAGTGAACATTTGTCTCTGTTGATCTCTAAGTTATATCACCAAAAAAATTGTCCTCCAAATTAATTTTTTAAAATATAAATATTTAGGATTCTCTGTAGATTTTCATTCCTTTTTCATAGAATATTGACATTTTCATTGTTTAATAAAATTCAATAACACAATATGAAATAATTATCACTGAATTTGAAACAAAAGCTAATATAAGAAGCAATAACAAAAATTAAGAAATAAAAATTTAAAATGGCATATCTAAGAAAAGTTTTCTCTCATGTAAGAGTCTTATTTCCTGTTCAGCTGAAATCTTGTGATTATGGTGAATTGGGGTTTCTGGGCTTCTCTAGGAAGTAGTCTCTGTTGTAGGCGGGGATGGGCTGACCATGGAAGACGTCAGAGGAGTAGCTACTGTTGTCGTAGCTTGGAGGGTCGTCACGTCTCTCTCTGCGGTTGGATTTACGTCTGTGGACAGATTGGTTGAAAAGTATGACCATAACTCTTTTATGCCCCCATCGATAAAATTTTCATAATTTGAAAAGGGAGATGTTTTGACCTTCCTTGCCACAGCCAGTCCAGGCAATATGGAACACACATGTCAACAGAAAGACAGCCTACCTATAAAATACTTCCAGCATGAGAATCGAACTTGTTCGTTTTAAGTGCATGGCATCATTGTAACAAAGTAATAAGCCTTGTTACTCATTATATTTTTTCCTTTGCTTGGTCTACATGTATTTCTATGGTCTAAGACATGCTCTATATCAACAGAACATTTTAGTGGTCTGGGCAGTACACAGAAGACGTGTAAGACCATAGAAGGACAAGCGTAAAAGAAAGAACAAAAGTCAGAAGGACACAAATACACAAGTCAATTTGCCTACATCGACATATCTCCTGAAACTGTCCTGCTACATCCTGTAGTTAAAGCCTCCAAGGATCGACCCCCCCCCCTCCCCCATATATATAAGTTAACACCACATAGCAAAAACCATAGGGTTATCACCTTTTTAAACTAGAGTCCGTACGAGGTCACGTGACACTGAAACTTTTGAGTTCGTTGGCGGTCATTTTTGTTTGGGCTAAAACGTTTGTTTACACGTGAGTGGGCGTGTCTCTGCCCTTATGTGTTTTATTTGATTCTAACGTTGTGTTTTCATCCAAAGTGAAGCAACTTGCTGTACTATTTTTAGCACGCTTCTCAACACGCAAGTCCTCTACGCCTGCCTATAAGTCCTAGGCCTAGCTAGGCTTGTGTGGAGCGGGTGAGAGGAAGGGTAATGCATCTCACGATTGGCCGCCCAACCCCTCTTTGCAAAGGACTGTGTGCTTGGTAAGAGAGGCGGGGTAGGGCTTCATTGTTTTGTCACCTTGATGTGGATTAGTATTTTGATATTGTCAAATTGTTTATGTTTTAGAAAAAATTTTAAAAGGCACTGTTCGATTGGTGCAGACTAAAGACCACTTACAATGACCGGCGCAATTTAACTGTCTTGGAACAGGTAGGCTCATTACCTATCGAACTTGAAAGCGTTGCTCATTGTGTTTCTCATTCTCAGTCTGTCAATTTCAAATTCAAGTTAATAGTAAGCACAAGTCTAATCTATTTGATCTAGGATAATGGTCGAAAAAAGAAAAATATCTGCTTCGACCCAATCTTTGTTGCTTCCCTTGATTTTCTGATACTGCCAATACCATAACACTGTTCACGTATCCCGCGAACTATGGATCCCTCAAACTATCGGCCGGTCCCGATAGACTTGAACTATCCGTGTTATATTGTAGTTGTAATTGCCTCTCGAGGAAAAATTATAATCTGCATTGACAAATGGATTAAACCAGACTTATCTGAACATCATCTTCATATTTATCACATTTCTGGACAGAAATTGCCATTTTTCTTCAGGAGAGGCGGTTACAACAGCATCAACCCCAACGTTCAAGTGAATTTTCACTACAACAACGTTTAACAACCTTATCCAATATGAAAGACATGTCGTATACTTAACTAACACTAACATCTGGCACCCATACAAACAGGACACACGACAAAGCAAGACCAATCTGAAACTATACCTTTTAGCGAGTAAGTAGATCGCCACAGCCAACAGGATCACAAGCATGAGCACAGCACACCCAGCCCCGATGAGAGCATTCCTCAAAATGTGGGAACCATCATCATCCTTCGCATCATCGAGGTGCTGCTTACAGTGCGCCAGGTCTGTTCACAAGGATTAGAATTAATTTGTTTAGTTTTTGTAAGAGTTTTATGGCATTTGCAACATGAATAAGTCATACAAGTGTCGAAGATTAGAAGTAATAGAAGTGTAACTAGGAAGTAACAGGCAAAGGAAAGGAGGAGAGATTTTGGATGATAAATGTTTGATAGGAAAGAAGGAGCAAACCACACCAGAGCACCCGTTAACCACTCAGTAAAATAGATTATAACTACCTGGGCCCCCTTTTGATGAAAGAAACGATCGGTGCTTTAATATCAACTAAAAGTCATTGGCCTACTATATTTACACTCTACTGGAATGGGGCATTAAATCTTGAGAGATGCAAAAAATTATGAGGTCTAGATCTATACTTTCAAAACAAAATGCGCCTCGCGAAATATCACTTCCCGATTTTCTAAAATTACCAAGACAGAAGCGTCGGCCTACAAAAGTGATCGGCGAAATATAGAAATTCAGCTTTTTGCAGCAAAACTGTCTCAAAACTGAAAAAAACAAGGGCGTCATGCTCTGGAGAATATTTTATAGAATCTTTTGGCGAAAACCGTATGTCGATCGAAGCTGCCATTAAAAAGCCCTTTGAATAGCAAAATTCGGCCACCACAAATTGATAATAGATGCTGACATGGTGGTGGTGGGGGTGGTGGTTAAGCTGGAGGTTGAGGTGGTGGTTGAGATGGTGGCAATGAAGAAGATTTTGGTTAAGGATTCAGTGGCTGCTTCTGCTGCAGTATTGTTGCTGTAGCTGCTTCTGCTGCAGATGATGATGATGAGCAACAGGATGATGAGGAGGAAGACGAAGAGGAGGATGTGGCTAGGAGGAAGAAGTGGCGAGGAGGAAGAAGAGAAAAAAGATTTTAAAATTGTTTGGATTTTTTGTTTTTTTTGTTAGTTTGTTTCTTTGTTGAGGAAGGATTTATGAAAAAAAGCAGGAGATGATGGTTGCACTGTTGTTGAATGACTTGAATTTGCAAATTCACTACACATTTACTTCAATGAAAAATGATGTGGAAAAGACAGTGCTTCAATTCATTCAAATAACAAGGTGGGAACTAATTGGGGCACTGTTTAATTAAAGGTCTTTGGTTACTCTATGTGGTTCTTATACTGTTCCTTTCATAAGAAACAAAATCAATAGTATATGCATAAGATTTCTAGTTGATGTATTTTTCATTTAATAAAAACTGGAAATCTATAACACATGTGTATAAGTTTTCTATTTGACATTCTATTCCTTTCATAAAAAACGGAAATCTATAACTCATGTATAAGATTTCTATTCGACCCACAAGAGCGAGAATGCACTTACCTCCCCGAATTGACCACTTTGTTGGCTGATTCGGGTCACAGAAGAAGCAGTCATCATAGACAGACACATCACCAGCTCTTACACACTTGTTGCCGATGGTGCACACATTATCCTTAAAGAACGATAAATGTTTTAGGCATATTGGTATATTTATACATGTTGGTCAATAAATAGGCTAGCATTATCAAGTAGATGGATGAACCTGGTTTTAGACTTTGTCAGCCTTGGGTGCTTTCAAGAATTGACCAAAGTGGAATATTTCTGATTTTCTTTTTTTTTTCTTCTTCAGATTTTCTGCCTCATCATAGTTTCATGAAATAAACCACACTTATTGGTAGTAATTTTCAAGAGTGACATGATAGACTAGAGATGCCTTGCACTTTCAACTTATTTCAAGACATTATAGAGGAAAACAACATGTTTTTTGTTGTTCTTTTCTTAAAATAAACCCAAACACATAAACAATCATACAAACACACACACACACATGCACGCGCACACACAGATACACACACACACACACACAAACACTTACAAGTATACACACACACGTAGGAATGTAAGCCGAGAAAGGGGGATAGGAAGAGAAAGAGAAGACATAATTAAGGGAGAGAGAATAAATGGAAGCAAGAGAACGAGAGACACAAAGAGAGAGAGAGAGAGAAAGCAAGAGAACGAGAGACACAAAGAGAGAGAGAGAACGACAGACACATTGAGAGAGAGAGAGAGAGAGAGAGAGAGTGAGAGAGAGAGATAAGGTTTCAGTTGAAGGACAAAAAAAAACGTCTACAACATACCTAGCGTTTTAGCATGACTAAATTTTATAAGAGATTACGTTTTTTGTGCTAGTCATTGTGCAAGTAAACAGAAATTCTCACCTTCTCAATGCAGGTGTTGCCATCGCATGAGTGGCATACTGGGTCATATGCTATAAAGAGCTGATAGTCAGGATATTCTTGCTGTCCATCGTTACTAACGGATACCTCCAGAGTGCGTTTAGTGGAGCGCCTCTCTCCGTAAGAGCAACGGACCTGGTCAACACTAATCAGCTCACCCTTCCTCTCAAACTTAGACCCTGGAACATGGCTCAAACCTGTTTCTGTGATCTGTTGGGAAATGGGAAATTGATTTCAGTATTGCATGTCGTTTAAGTCTTCTTTTTCATTTGAGCCGAGTTCCAATTTGTCCACATAGAAACAATTATGAAGCGGTGTGAAGTTTTTCCACACAATCTTCTTATTGACAAAACACTTTAAATATCCCTTTTTCAAAAAGATTACATTGTTGTTATGTAAGAAATAGCTCAAACCTGCATAGAAAAAAGATATACAGATTTTTCCAGAAATGCTGTCCTGGTGTATAAAGCTTCAAACAGAATAAACATCTAAAATCTAATACAAAACATTTTGAAGTGCCCTTTTCAGATATATGTCTTCAGAACCATTAAACATTGAGCCCTCCCCCCTGATCATGTCTTGCATTCATGGTCAGTGAACTGAAGGGCATCCAAGTCCCTCAGCAATGGTATGAAGATAAACAGGTTTAGTTTAGACTAGAATTTATTGTAACAAAGAAGCTGTTCTTTTAACTTCACTTAATAGAACTGCAGTAGACTTGTTCAAATATCCTGAGCTCCTATTGTTTCCTACCTCAACCTCTCTGAAGTGGCAAGTCAAGAATCTGGAATCGACGAAGTTTTGGCCAGTGATGTAGACAGCAGAGCAGTTGGAGTTCAGTCCCATTTGGCACATGCTGAAACCGTCCTCAGGGGCTACCAGTTTTGGCACGGGTATGTTGGTCACACGATGCTGACAGCCAGTGCCCACAAAGTCTGCCTCACACCTACATTGACCTGCACGAAGAATTTATTTTTTAAAACTAATGGCTAATTTAAAACAAGAAGGAAGGAAGATGCCACGACTATTTTATTTTTGGGGTTCGTTTATTTTGTTTGAGGCTGGATTTTTTTAGCTCATCAGAGTCATCAGTTTTCTAGTTTGTTTTGGGAGGGGTTTTTTTTGCTTTTTTGTTTTTCTTTTGTTAGTCTTTCAAGTTTTTAAAAGTTGTTTCTTTGCTTGCTTTTTCATTGTTGTTTAAATTTAAGAGAGTAAAAAGCTGAGATTTTAAGAAGAATTAGTGAGAAAGAAGAGGGGAGGGATGCATTTTTTCGAACCCATTCTGCCTCATACAAGGAAACATAATACCTTCCCTGGAGATGTGCTCAGCCAGATTGGGAGGAAGGTGTGGGGCTGGGGGGTGAATATCCCTTTTAAGATGCAAAACCATTTTTTTGCTATCAACCAATGTTTAGATGGGTTTTCTCCATGATTATTTTTTTAAAGTTACAGAATGAATTTCAGCTTCAAAATTTAAAGTTATACAATACAAAAATAGAAGGGCATAATACAATATTTGAGAATTCAGTCCAGTTTTGTTCACCATTTATACTGAATCACTTTTGAAAGAAATAGTTAATTATGACTTAAAATATCATTTCTATGTTGAAGATACCCACATTAGATTTATGGTCAATACTGACTAAGATGAATTTGTGAATTGTTCTGAAAATTGTACAGTGGGTAGCGCATTCAACGAGGTCACATTCAATGAGAATTCGGCTCCAACGAGGTAATCTTTAATCCACAATTTTTCCTCTATATCTCTTTGTCAATGTACGTCAGCTCCAACGAGGTTGCAAACAGACAGAAGTCGCTTTCAACAAGGTCGTGATAACCAAATAAAAGCAAAGAATTTTTCTCCTTTCTCTCCATCTCACGTGAAGCACAAGGCCCCTCCTCGATTCCAAACACATTGTGTTGCTAGACCTAGTGTGCCTCCTAATATGGGTCCCAAAGCAAAGAGGATGGGGAGGGTTAGCCTATAGTAGGGATGGGAGGGGGTGGGTGGGAAGGTGATGCGGGCTGTGTGAAACTGGGTGAACTCTGGATGGGTAGGTCTAGATCGAGACCTTCATTTTTTTCCAATTTTCTTTTCTTCCCCAGATCAGAAAACCCAAGCTCCCACCTTTACTTTATGTAGGCCTAGATGTGAGAGGGTATGTTTCCACACGAGAAGTGGGTTCCAGAAAAAAACATTAAAAAATGCAGAAATGATGATCAGAACACAGCTCAACTCAAACACATGCACACTTTCACCTACTTATGCTGTTTGCGAATTTCATCATCAGGGGGAACAACTGTTTTAATAATTGGTATTGGTACATCGTGTAAATATACACATGTTATTCATAACTTGTCTCCTTTCTTTTCTTTAGCCTTAGTCACATTCAACAAGAGGTCAGATCCAACGAGGACAACAAGCCGGTCCCGGCAACCTCATTGAATCCGACACCCACTGTATTGTTTCAGTAAAAAACTGGATGAACAAAAACAAATTGATGTTGAATAATAATAAAACAGAAGTCATTCTTGCAGGCCGTGCAAAGTCTACATTAATCAGTTTGACAAAGATCACGTGAAAATTGGTGAGGCAGAAATTGTATTTCAAGAAAAATTAAAAGTCTTGGCATCCACTTTGATTCTAGCTTGTCTGTGTCTGCTGGGGTAAATCATCTGATAGTTGCATGTATTCAGAAATAAGCAAAGTCAGTACAATAAATCATCTATCAATAATAGGAAAATTGCTTTATTTGCAAATCGCTCAGTTTGATTAAGATTTGATTATTGTTACTCTCTGTTATCAAGAACATTTTCAGAGAAAGTGAAAAGACTTCCAACTGTTCCAAATAATGCCAACATGCTGCGCGTTTAGTTTTACAGAAAAGAAAGCGAGACTTAGCTACACTTCTTCTACGGACACTGCACTAGCTCATTTTGAAAGTAGAAAACAACAGTAGAGGATGTATGAGCCTCCAGTTTTTTGAAAACTCAAATTCGAATCATAAATATAATTCTGAACTAGAAATATAATTCCTCTTATATTTTCGTCACCACAGAAGGCTTTGTACAAGTTACGGAGTGGTATCATTGTTCATAATCTTAAAACTAAGATCTCTTTCCAAACTTAAAGGTGGGTTACCAGACAGTGACACTTTGTATGTCTCAAATATCTCTCTGTTGTTTCTTTTAGTCTCTACTTTTTACAACTCCAATGAAAAGAACCAGATCGTCTTGATGCACTTCTTGTTCACAATTCTGCAATTCAAAAATGTTTTACCGTCATTGTTGGACGCCATCCATAAAATAAAACATTACAAACCTCTGTAGCAGGTACCCTTTCTATTGCAGTCAGAAGGAGAACAAGTCATGTTGGTGAAGGCAACAGCCAGATCGCTGGCGGTTTGATTCTTTTGGTATTCTGGGTCCTTGCTCAGTTCAACAAGGCACAGTTGATTGATGGCCTCTTTTGATCTATTCACCCATATAGTCGAATCTGACAGCTGCCAAGATCGAGAGAGTTTAATATCATTAGACATTATCATAAAAGTATGATACCGGTAGTTAAAATAAGAAGTGACATTTTAATTATTCTCTCATAAAGTTGGTACATCCTTTGGAGACTTGGAGCAATAAGGGTTTGGGGTTGCTGTGGCATTCACACAGAGATAAAGTTGAAAGGCTACAATGCTGCTGTAGTCCTCCCCATTATGTTTTTTTATGCCAATACCTGGACAGTGTATAAAAACCATGCCAAGAAGCTCAATCATTTCCAAATGAAATATCTTAGAAGAATTCTTGACATCAAATGAGAGAGCAATCAATTTTGAAGGTGGATTGATTAAGGGTAAAACATATGCAATACAAGATTTATCAACAGCTTTTATGATCATTTCATCTTTCACTGAATATCATTCAAACTGCTCATGCACCATAAATATAGAAAATAGCTCGGATGGTGCTCACAAAAAGCAGTCAAACTAGGCAGCAGTAGTAGTTAGAATATCTCATCCACTAATTTACTCCCATTTCAAGGAAAATAGATAAATGTTTGAAGAAACTTCTTAATTAACAAAATATGTTGTTCAGACTCTCTCAACTTTCCTATCACAATCATTTGTAAAGATAGACCAAAAAGGCACAACCACATTCAAGAAATCTCATAATACAGAAGATGTTATAAAACATTGTCCACTACATCAACTGTTCAGTTGTACTATATTTTTACCCTAATATCATCCACGCAATTGTCCACGGACTTCATGAAATTTGGTTTTTTCTTTATGTTTTCTATGGAGAAGAGAGCTGCTGTGCATTTTTCCAGGGCTTGGGTACTCAGTTCATTCAAACAGAGACTTGTTGCATCCTCTTTGGTCCGGCCAGAAGGTGTCGGCCATTTGGCAACCTGGGGGAGAAAAGAGTCTCATTAGCCCCAATCTTGAAAAATAAAAAACAAAACAAAAGAAGTTAAAGAAAATAAAAGAAGTTTCATATTCTTTTAACTCATCTTTGAGATGTATTTTCACATTTGGACATACAATGTATAAGCAAAAACTCACGGTTGACATAAGATATGCAAACGGGGTCAAAAACCAATCTCTTATATAATATAGCAGTTCCAAGTGTTAGTCAGTAATCTAAAGATTAAAAAAATATTTCCACCCCTGCCCTCATGAGGCTGCAAATAGACAATTAAGGTAGAATAAGGAGAGACGATGGAGAGCAAATGGGGGGTGGGGGTGGGGGGAGGGAGATCGAATGGGAGTGGTGGGGCATCTGACAAAGGGTGCAAAGCGTGAGAGGAAGTAAGACAGCAATAGAGAGAGAGATAGTTTTTCAAGAACTTGAAAATTTACCCTAAACAGACATTTGGGCTATAATAGAGCTGTGCCCATTTGACTTTATTAACATTATTCAACATTCATGATTTTTGTGCTGTTCACAGCTATTCAAAATGAGGCAAAGCCATTCCAATGCTGTGTGATTGTTTTTACATTTAATGGTTTTCATCTCATTTTTCTCAAACCGTAATCAAATTAGAGCATATTACATCTAACAATTTTTAGGTAGATACTCTGTACTTAATGGTTATGAGACAGTGTGATAAGAGGAGCCAACAAGAATTGCCACAACAAACATGCCTCTAAAGTGTATCCATTACTATTCAATATTCACTCATCACACCAACCATGAAATGTTCAAGCAAGGGCACTTGATTCTCAAAGTGCAGCAAATTTTTTTCCTATGAAATTAGCTGTAGCAATGAGCTCCCCTTCACCTATTCGAAATTCGAAATGTTGTGAATGGTGACATGGTGTTATCACATTGCATAGTGGACTTTACTGTGACTACTGATGATAAATGTTGCTGAAAGAAGAAGAATCAAACTAGTATTTTGACACTCTACATCTATAAAGTGGTAAATAATGCATTAACCCTTCCAGCCCCAGCCATTTTTGTGCACTCCCTAACCCCAGTCCCAGCCAATACAACGATATTTCAGAAAAAAAAAAGAGGCATGCATTCTAAAAAGTGATGTAGTATCTTCGTAATGAGGTTTAGATAATAACATCTAGCATTGTTTAAAGGTAAATGAACAAATATTATGAAAATTACAGTTTAATTAGATAAGCTAATTTCGAAAAATGTGCAAATTCGGTACCCCCCGAAACTGAGAATATACGCTCTTGGGACAGAGGGAGGTACAAGCGCTGCTGAAAATATACGCACATGGGGCTGGAAGGGTTAAGAGATGGCCACTTCTGTTTCTGACAAAATTTCGAATTTTTACTCCCATATGTTACCGGTGTTTGAGATGTAGTGTTTAGGCGCTACATCTACATCAAACAGGAGACTCGAGATCTATTCCCGAGTGGAGAAAGTTTTTTATGAATTATGTAAGTCTTACTGCTGGGATGTTGTATCCCTCTCAGCCCATGTTGGCCCTGATAGGCAAGGTCGAAGCATGTCGCCTTAACTAATTATTAGTGATCTAAATTTCTAAAACAATAAAAGAGCTCCCATGTTATCTTTGTGAAAATACAAAATACAAGTAATACTGTTACGTACCGGGGTATTGATTTCCTCAGGTGTTTCAGCATTTTCTGCCTGCCTCTTTCTTCTTCTCCTTGTTCTCGGAATGGCATTCTGGTTGTATGCTTCCACTAGTTTGTTTGTTATGTCTTCCCCTTTTAATTATGAAAAAAAACATTTGAAAATCTGTGTTAGATCTAGTCTTCATTTAAAGTATGTTGATATTGAGTGTGCGTTGCTGTTGTTGGTTTTACTATTGAAATATTATGCTCCATTAGATACAAAGAAGGTCAAATCAAAGTAGGAGCCACAAGATCCCCTTCCTTGACAACAAAATGAAGGAACATAGTCCATGAATAACAACACATTCTAACTGCACTCGTATACAAATCTTCAATTTCTTTATTGCAGTTACAGTACATCGGATAAAAATGGGGATTAGACGTAAAGAGTAATAATTCTACTTTAAACTATCAGTGAAAAATACGATTTAAAGAGCTAAGAGAATCTGGAGAAGTAAGAGAATTGTCCTTTGCCATCTGTGATGGCTGAACATTAAGTGGTTTTAGAAATAATAAGCCTACTGTTTGGAAATACACAACAGCATCAAAACAAATTCATGGACATCCCTTGCCTTAACTACATTTTTTTCTTGTTCTTCTCGAAAATATAGGTTAATTAGTGCAATGAATTTTGTTTGTGATTATATGTTTCTAACTTCTCTCTCTCTCTCTCTCTCTCTCTCTCTCTCTCTCTCTCTCTCTCTCTCTTTGAGTGTGTTTTTGTGTGTGTGTGTGGGGGGGGGGTGTATTTGTGTGCATTTGTGCATTTCATGCACATATATGTGAGTGTGTGTGTGTGTGTGTATTTCTGGGAGCGCCTTTATGTGTGGGAAGTATCTGAATTCGGGTGGAGGGGGCAACATAATACATAGATATCATCTGAAAACTTTAACATAATGACTTATTTTGTAGAGAAAACCAACCTTCAACAAATCCACAATAAGCAATATGGTCTAATGGGCCCCACATAGCTGTTGTAACATTGTCTTGAGTCCAGTCTACGAAGGCAGAATCGGCTGCAAACTTCTGTTCAACGTTTGGAGCAAAAATGTCAACCAAATTCTCAACCTGAGAAGAAGTTCTGAAGACAAAAAAAAATACATTAAAAATTTGTATTTAAGCATGTTAGTGTTCATATCTGACAGTACCAGTTATATTCTATGAAGTAGTTGTTATAACTTTTTGGCAATAGTGTATGCTGTTAATGATATAAGAAAATTATGTAGAAGACAAAAAAAGAAGGAGAAAACCTAACCAAAAATAGGAACAGAACATAAAAACTTGGTTTGGCATAAAAATAACTCATGAAGGCAAAATAGTGAAAGACAGGGCACTTCATGGCACAAAAGTTTGGGAAGCAATGTACAAGTACTGCAAATCTGAGAGAAGGAAGAAGTTCCTGGTTAGCATGGTCCTGTTCATCGGATCTTATCTCTCTATCCTGCTAAGTTGTTTTTTTCTCCCAATCCCAACTTTCCATTTCAAATCCCACTCATCATTGAAAAAATGATATGGGTTTAATGCCCCTATCAACATTATTAGGTTATATAAGAGGTGGGACCTTCGGGTTTAACGTCCATCTCCGAAAAGACCAAGTCAACTTGGAAATGTAAAATGCCTTTCCCAAGGACACAACATCGGACCAAGCTGAAGCTCTACTAACCCCTGAACTCGCAATCTCAAGATTACGAGTCTGATAGCCTAGACGCCACACCCATCATTGATGGGAGCGAAGATTTGACGAAAACATGTACTGTTGTTATTTAAATTTAGCCTGTACTCGATTCAATGTTAATCCTTTTAAAAAAAACCTGGGCATCTTTTATAATATACTCAGTCCGACACTGGGCAGAGAGACAATATTTCAGGAAAGAAATAAATTAGCCTAGAAAGGCAAATAATGAGAATGAAGCTAATTAAAATCTTCATAAAATCAGTAAACTGTATGCTTCTGGAATTTGAACCTTGAACTACCACGACACAGTGTTCAGCCATCAACCTTCATAAGTCCACCCTATTCTCTCAGTGTAAAATCCTTCACTAACTGGTAGGAAGTCAAAGCATGGCTTAATGCCCCTTTCAACTTTGTAAGTTTATTTGCGAGGCTGGATTTTAATAAGGTTGAGTTAAGTAGGTGGAGAGCCTTCAAAAAGTCCCCAGACAACCCAAAATAGACCAGCACAATAAACTGAGCTACTGACGTGTCGCCAAGAAGTCAATGCTGCAACTCACCGCCTCCACTTTGAAGTGAAGTTAACGGGCGAGAGAACACCGTCCTCGTTTTCAGCATCACTCAAGGAGTACTGGCTGAAATCTGGCATCTCAAAGTCGTTGTAACCGTCACCGTCAAAAACACCGCATAAACCTGCGGAAATGATTGGATTAGAAAAAAAGCATTATTCTCCCGCAATACAATAAGGTACGGTACAAAAATCTGTTATATTGCCTTAATTCTTTGTCACATATCAAATAAAAATAAACAGTGGGGAGAAAATGCACAATGTCATCCAATGTGCAGTATCTATAACCTGAGTTTCTCAGAAATTATTTCATTATTGAACTTGACTACAGAAAAACTACGAACTCGATGGGTCACGTTTAGCATTCTAAAAATACCTCAAGATCAGAACTAAAAATATTTGTAAGATTTCTTCAGCTGGCCCAACTGCAATTTCTCTGCTCACATAGCTGAAACATCACAACATAAATAAATTTCAAAGCTGTAGCACCATTTTTATTGGAATAGGAAAGGATTTTGTACGGTATATGAAAAAAAAACAACACCTATTGGCAAAGGCTCATATTATGTCAAACTCTGGACTGCAGGTCATATGTTTCATTAGAAAGTATATAATTATCTAGATTGAGATGCAGTGAATGTACCTTCCACACATTGACATTATATAAGAGGCATGATTGTCCATCTTAAATGCTTAGCTCTGGTGCACAATATATAAACTTGTAGTACTGCCAAAGATTCTCCACTACCAAGATGTTCCAATTGCCCTATCTACCTTAAGCTAGCGTGTGACGGCCCGTGGTACGAGTGTAAACAAACGTTCCAGCGCTCTAGATTGAAAGCATGCAATTCTGCTTGCGGGCAGAGAGAGAGAGAAAGAGAGAGAAAGAGAGAGAGTGAGGGAGAGAGAGAGGGGGATGGAGGGAGGGAGAAAGAATTAAAGGGAGGCCGGGACACAGAGAGAGAGAGAGACAGAGAGAGAGAGAGACAGAGAGAGAGAGAGAGAGAGAGACTTGCTGTTTCATACCACTACGAAGAGACAAGGACAGTTTGAATCTGCCCCATATTGCCATATTGTTATATAAAAGATTGTGACATCAAGTCATAAAAAGAATTTGTAAAGCAAGACTGTGTGTCGCCACCGTAAGTTCACTTCTTAACAAAGAAATTTACTCTCATAGCACAATGTCAATGTTGTCTGGTAATTCTGTAATTAGTATGATTTCGACCAATGACAACGTGCTAGACTAACTTCAACACTTTAAACATTATTGTGATATCAAATGACTAGACAGCAAACTATATAAGTTAGAATTGGTGAACATCTGGCCAGCACTAAAGCAGTGCAAATTATTTTCTAGCACAATTCTAATGGGTTTTTTTGTACCAACCCCACTCCCCCGTTCCCGTTCGTTTTCTCCTCGCTTCCACCTGCTCTTACACATCAGCTTACCCATGTCAATACGCACTGTCAAAAATACACACTATACAAGTGATATATATTTTTACAACCCTGGTCGATTGGTTGATCATAGTCAGTTGATGTTTGTTTGCAAACAAGGCCGAGTACATGTTTGCACTGACGCAACAGTGACCAAGTGTCATTTGCTGTCCACGTCGAAATAGCTCGCAGAGAAGTCTTTACAGGGAATCAGACCTAGACTGCTCACCTCTCTAGCTTCAACAGCACAAGGTCTGCTTCAACTATCAAGGCACCCCGGAAATAGCAGGTCACAAGAGAGTGACAAACATACAAAAGAAGTAGAGGAAAATGACAATAGTAAGGATCAGGAACGAAAAAGCAGCAGTTCCCTGTTGTAGATCAGGCACAGTTATGAGCGTGACATGAGTCAGCCCATTTACAAATCTACTGTGCTTGAACGAGAAATGTCCCCCCTTTGGGAATGGCCTAAAGACACTGCAGTCAGTGGCACTGCCCCAGGGGGTAAAGGCATTCAAAAAAGCATCTCCGACCATTGATTTAAACAGTCAAGTGACTCGTAGTGTTTAACCTTAGTCACTAGCCTGATAGGGATTTCCCGAGTTAGCCCATTAAAGACATTGTTTCCCCTGAATTAGCCAAATCAGCTTCAGTTATACTATAATTTCACTTATTGAGACAATTTGAGTAAGGTGTTATTTTTTTTAGGAAGGTCTATCTATTGTGATAGCCCCTATACTGTTTATTCCCCCCCCCCCCCCAACCTCCCAGATTTTGCGACAGTTTACTTTTTTTTTAAACAGTTTTTACTATAATGCTTCTATCACCATATGACTGCCTGACTTCTAGAGGCAGACATAATTACTCTGACTCATCTCATCTTTTTACAAAGTCAAGAAATATCTTATTTTTCTAGATACATTGCCTGGAAGATGTGGAAATTAAAGGCTGTCCTTTTCTTTGACAGTTATTTCTTAAAACCTTTTTTTTTTACCATGATGACAACCTACTACTTGTAACCTCGGTTCCACTTGAAGGCCATGAGAAAATAATTTCAAACCTCCATTGTTTTTCTCATCTCAATTCTTAATTTCCTAGCCCCAATCATTGTTTCAACACTGTCTCCCCTCATCATTGGCTTTTGGTGGTTTTGGCTTATACATAATATGTGAGGCAGCGTAGTGAAATCATATACTCGTCAAAATAATGAAATCAAAGAAATTGGCATTTTTCTGGCAGTTGAGCAATTTTTTTCTAATTTTCAAAATTTTGGCTCAACACTTTTTCAGTCCATTAAAAAACACATTTCTATGTGGATTTTACTGAAAAACACTGACTAAAAGCCCAAAAATTGTAATTTTTCAGTTTCCAATGACTCTCAAGCTATAGATATTACCCAACTTTGGTTGCCATTTCTCACCAATTTTACCTCTGAAACCAGGTGACCCTGACCTCCTTCAATTGCACAATTTCAACTTTATTTGACATAGATGGATTTTTTTTCCACCAAAAGCAAGGCAAATAAACAGGCTTTAAGATGATACCAATAACCCCATATGTCCAAAATCTGACGAGCGCCTGATTCCACATTATGACACATATTATCGTTGGCAATATTGCTCACATCATTTACTAAGCTCAGGTAGCCACACTTTTTAATTTTTTCAATTGTAGTTTCTACAATTGAAAAAATTCAAAACTATAGGCTTAGTATTTGAACAGCTGTATGACGATACAGACTGAAGTTATCAGAACATAAAAGCTCAGATAGAGATGACACTAACCTTGTGTCTTGTCAAAGTCTCGGGGAGAGGGCATTATCCACAAGTTGATATACTCGCCATCTGACTTGATGGTCACCACTGTGCCTGTCTCCACCAGCACCACCTGGTACGACAAGGATTATATGTGAAAACAGCTTTCTGTATTTGCTTTCCCACATTTGTTTATTCTGTTTTCTGTTCATTTCATGGGATTAGCAATATTTACAAACAGAACTGAACTATTTTGTTCTGTGTGGTATATCAGAATGAGGAAATTGCAAATGACTCAAAATACCACTGTGACACTAGCATTGGAAAAAAAAAAAAGATCCTGAATTAAACGTGTTGAAAGCTAGCCTATGCACTGGCTTCCAGTTGAATAAATAATCCAATATAAAGTTTGTACCATCTGTTCTTAATGCCTTAACAATAATGCTCTATCATATATGTCTGGGCTTTTAACACCATAAGTTCCATTCCGTCAGTTACTCTCAGTATTCATGTCATTGATGTAAAGCAGTCAGAGTTAATACTTGTATGGGATAGAGCCCTATATAAATGAAATCTATTCTTCTTCTTCTTCTTCTTCTTCTTCTTCTTCTTATTATTATTATTATTATTATTATTATTACTATCAAGATTATTATTATTTTTATTATTGTATTGTTATTGTTATTATTATCATCACTTTATATTCTCACAGAATGGAAAGAACACAGAGGTTTTACATAAAGTAAATTGTAATTTTACCCTCATATATTACAGGCAAACTTCACTTCATGTTCTTAACTTACTTTCATCTTGACATTACAGTGGCATTATCTATTCCTAACATTTAACAGAATCACACTCTACAGATCAACAAATTAGTTTTTGTTTTTGCACAAATGTCAATGTCACCCTGTACACTTACGCTGATAGCATGTGTTTATATTCTCTCCAAGTAAGATTTGCAACCAAACAGCATTGACTGATTGGTAGATGTACTGGTTCTTGCAAGTTGGTATTATCCATAGCTTTGAATTAGAATATCCAAGACTGGGCTCTGTCATGACCGCCTTCCTTTGCTCTCTATGAAAAGTTTGCTGTTTTAGTGCTCATCATGGTCTCCTAAATGAAGGGCAAGCAACAGTGTCACTATAATCGAGTGCACAACAACCTTCCCCTCCTTGCCCTATATTTTGGTTCAAATAGAGTCTAATAGTACGCCCCATGCTGAACTGGAATTACGTCAGAGCGCGCAGTCTTGGATATAACAAGGAAAGTCTATGAAACCATAATAGCTACAATGTATCATCAAGGTCAGATAGAAACATCTGATATTAATGTTTTGATGTGAAGAGGTGAAAGAGTCAGTGTATGGCATTGCAGCAGGTAGTCTAACTGTGCTCTGTTCTATTTCATAGCTCGTCAAATCCATCCCTATAGTATGTATTTGGCCATTATTTGGCTAACTTGCTGCAATTCATAATTGAAACTACCCCATTCCCCAACTCCCATCTTTTTCCATCTTTAAAGACAGCTTAAGTTTTTATTTCCTTGGCATTGTTGTTACTTCTGTTGTTATCAAATTAATCATCATATATTTTCAATCATCATTATTTTATTGGTGTTATTATTATCACTATTGCTGTTCTTGCTGTTGCTGTTGCTGCTGCTGCTGCTGCTGCTGCTGGTAGTGGTGATGGTGGGTCTGGTGCTAGTTTAGATGGTGGCAGTGGTGCTGGGGGTGACGGCAATGGTTATGGTGATGGTTGTGGTGATGGTTGTGGTGGTGGTTGTGGTGGTAGTTGTGGTGGTGGTGGTTGTGGTGAAGGTTGTGGTGGTAGTTGTAGTGGTGGTTCTGCTGCTGCTGCTGCTTCTGGGGGCAATTGCAGCAGCCCTTGAGCTTAGTAAAAATATTTTAACAAATACAAAGTAAAAAAAGAAAAAACAAACAAAAACAAAAATAACTCACATAGGTTGTCCTCATATCATCTCCTTTGAAAACACGAAGCATCTCATTCTGTTCATCTGGGGCAGAATTTGCTGGGTCGGGAGTTAATTGAACATTCTCTGAGTCTTTATCACACAGGTCATAGATGAAGCGGACTCTTGATGCAAAAACTGTCACAGCACAGTTGCAGGTGCCATATTTAGCACATTGCTTGAATTCAGCGACAACCTGATAAGCAAAATAATTTTTAAACTGTTCATGTTTCATATTTTTTAAGGCAGTATGTTTGATCCTGAGATTTGTAGGAAAATCCAAGTAAATCGAAATAACATATTATTATATGCTGGATTGAATATCTTACCCATTTGGAATGAAATCCTCATCTGGAGTGAGAGAGAGAGAGAGACAGAGAGAGAGAGACAGACAGACAGACAGACAGACAGACAGACAGACAGACAGACAGACAGACAGAGAGGGAGAGAGAGAGAACAAAGAGAAAGAGAAAGAGAGAGGGAAGAAAGAGAGAAGACGAGAGGGAACGAGAAGGAGGGAAGAGTGAGAGAGAAAGGGGAGACACGGTGAAAGGAGAGACAGAGAAAAAGAGAGGAGAGGGCAAAGAGAGGAGGAGACAGGCAGCGAGAGGGAAAGAGAGAGAGAGAGAGAGAGAGAGAGAGAGAGAGAGAGAGAGAGAGAGAAAGAGAAAGAGAGAGCGACAGAGACAGAGACTCTTGATTCATTAAATAATATTATGTCAGATTATATAAACAGACTGACGTCTATTTGGAAATCAGATTGAGAACCTGTATTTTTGGCCTATATATCTATATTAAGTGACTTACAGCTGTCGCGTACTCAATGTTCCTGTACAACACGAAGCTTCCTGTGTCCATTACGTTGTAATCGCTGCAGTATGAGAAAAATGCGGACAAGAATTACTCTCTAGTGCATAATTTGCTAGCACTAACATGAACAAAGTTGTTGGGTTTTTTTTAATGAGAGACAAAACTAGCTACAAATCAAAAATAACTTTTGTAACTACATGCACTGATGCAGACTTGCTCATTGTTTATACACAGATGCAATGCACTATACAGGCATGCTCACAGCAGGGTTGGCAATAACTGTCAGACATCTCCTTCCAAAGAATGTATTGAATCCATTGAAACGTAAGCAGGTGAAGTGACTAAGAAAAAAACTTTCATCTGCAATTAAACAATCGGAAGTTTTGTAGTCATTACCAGGTGGGTTTTGTACAAAATGCAATAGGAATATATGGATCAAGATTAACTACAGACTGCTTACATTTTGCTGAACTGTAATATAGTTTAAGACTTACTTAAGCTTCCTGTGTTTCGTTGCCCTAGAATAGGGTTAAGGTTGGCAACAGCTCCTTATCTTCTGCTTATAGATTAACCATGGCTCCCCATATTGTGTTGACCAATGCACTAGCTTTTGCAACAGTTGTGTTCGCCTTAGAAGTAACACTTAGTCTTGCTTTCTAACATGTCTAAATCAACTTACTGGTGCCCTGTTGATGTAAAACAATACTGGCTGGCTACCATGGGTGAAACGCATTTTTCTTACAAGGCAAAGACCTCTATTACAATTTGATAATGTCAAAATATGCTTAAAACTGTCAATATTTGAATTATATTTTCTTTGGAATTCAATCTGAGATTTGATGTAAGTCAAGGAGAAGAATACGAAAGAACTATTAGAACAAAATCTGTTTCCCTCCCAATCATCAAATTAGAATCCTAAAAGTGAAAGTACTGTATGCAACATTATTCCCTTGCTCTAATTGTTCATTTGTTTTAATTAAAGCTGCTTACATGTTGTCAAAGGTCTGCAAGTGAGGATCATTGATGGAAGAACACGTCGATTGGGGAAGATCTCTGTCTTCAACAAAAATCTGAAACAAGAGAAAAGTCATAGAATCGTGAACTGCATGAGCACACACTAGTGCTTCTGAATCAAATTATTAATTAATTAATCAAATGTGTGTACCTTCATTAAAAAATCGTACTATTCAATTCTGTGATTTCCACACATGAGGAAATTTTGCCCTTTAGAAGACTGTATCGGAGTATTTCTAGATTTTGTTCCTTCAAATGGACAAAACCAACCTAAACACCTGGGTTTGATTCTAACAAGAGAATAACTATAGCCTAGACAGGTAATTACTTACCCATGACATTTAGATGTAAATCATAAATCCTTTTGCGGCAACATTTTTATACCTATTATTTTTCAGGTGACTATAGCTCAGCAATTTCCATAAAGGTAAGTTTCAAACTTTCAGACTTTCCCACACCTATTCATTGTGCATTTGACAGGAAACTTTACCTTGTTTTTCTGAACAAAAAGTAAGAAGCAGCTAGAGCAGCTGACCCGTGATTTCACTCCTCTCTCAAATGCAGCATCGTAAGACTCAAAAATTAAAACCAAAAAGACTTCTATTCTCCGGAAAAGGAAAGTCACTATTTTTGGTTCCAACAGGCTCATGCATAAGATGATTAAATGGCTTTTCAAGAAAATTATAAGACAAAATGACTTAGAGAAAGCAGTGCAGGATTGACATTTAAATTTAAATGCTGCAGCAACACAAAGCAAGGGTAAAGCATCCTAGACAAGTTCCTTTATTTCATTTCCTGAAAAGGCTAAAACACAGAAACACTCATGACAATTAACATAGCTCCATCCCTGGAAGGCTAAGTTAACTGATTGTAACATTTTTAGCCGGGCATTTTAATGAAATACAGTAGTTTCTGCCTAAGATCCCACCACTTGCGATCCCGTTTCACTTAAGATCCCGCCGTTTTAAGGGACACTAGGTACAGCTGAAGTGAAAATTTTTGTTTGGGCTCTAAATTAAGTATACTGAGATTCCCAATAACCAATATGGGTCAAGAAACAGGAACACACTAGATCTATCCCTATACGATTTCACTGTCAATTTTCTGAATTCTTTAGATGCAATGGGTTCGAGGGACCAAAATTCGTGCAAATTCTAGGCAGGGATTCTGAAAAAGATTGAATTGATACAGCCTTGATATTTTCTCACAGCGTTTCTGTATATACAACCTGCAACATACTAAAGATTTACTTTCCTTAGTGTCATACTTTTCTTGTCGCTGCCCTTCTAGTGTCATATATGATACTCAGACAAAAAATTGACCACAAATCAGAGTGATACAGTCAATCTTTTTTACGCTGACAGAAAATGTATTACAATATCACAATAATCTTTTAGTACATTGCAATATTATCTAGAAACAGTCATGCAAAGTGGGATTGAGCTGTGACTTATAGGCCTACTGTCAGAAATATCTCTGTGAAGGTGAACCACCCCCCTAAGAAAATCATAGTTTTGAGAAAACTGGAAAAAAAAAACCGAATTCATACTGGTCTATTTCAACACATTATTAAAAAACATGGCATATGTGAGCACTTTATAAGATGCTTTAGACACTTCAAAACGTTCCAATTGATAAAGCAGATGCTGCTCTACTATAATAGTCCAAAATCGAAAAATCAGGTCTGAATACCAAAATCGACTTTTTCTGGCTATTGGCTACTGCCGAGGTGTACCATAAGAAAACATAATTTTTACTACACAAGATCCACTCTGATTCATTCTGCAGGTCTACATTCGGGTAAGATCCCATATTTCAGATCATAAATTAAGGAACAAAATCCTTGGCGGGTACAACTGATCAACCAAGAGTGAAAAGTTGAGATCAATAAACTGCCCATAGTGTCCAGCCACTCTCGTAAATGTGACCACATGAGCGTTAACTGAATGAAATGGTTCTCTGTTTGCTCTAGATGGGATCAAATCAATGTGTGAACTCGCCAATGCATATGTTTTCCCCAAACATCACACTCACATCTGAGCTCTCCACCTAAACTTACATCACATGCAGGGTGGGTAGAGATTCATGATAGGATAATAAGTGAAAATGGCATGCCTCATGCCACTGTGATAGGTCATCAAGGTTGAACACTCTTTGCCCGTCATATGTCATAAACCCATCCAAGGGTCATGTCAGTTCAGTTTAGAGTGAAGATAGACCATTTTACCTTAACAATGGCTCACCATATATTCTTGCCTTAGTGCATCAGCTAAGATCCCATTCGTCTAAGATCCCGCATTTTCCTTGCGCCCAAGCATCGTCATGATCTTAGGCGGAAATTACTGTACATCATTTCCCCCCCCTGCCAAAGAGGATCTGAGGCATTTTCAGCCAGCTTACAAACATCTAACTCTCCTGAGCTATGATTCTAGATGTGAAAAGTTGTCCTTTCTCTGTCTGTGTAGGAAAAGTTTTTCTAGTCGGAGAGAACCAGGGTGCACAGTCAGTTTAATTGGTATTATGATGGACTACAGAGAGAATGACCTTGATTTGAATCCTCAAGAGTCGTTTTGAATTTGGGTTGTTTTGGGGAGTTTTTAAGACTCACCACCCATTCGGCATGGTCCTATCAAAGATAGTCATTACATTTGGAGGTCCGGCATCTAGATGACCTCACAGTGTTCAAAACAGCATTGAACCTATACAGTTACAATGACCAATGAAGAGAAGCAGAACAAAAGAATAAGTGGGCTGGAAAGGGAAAGTATTCCTAACATTTAAGCTCTACATCACTGCTAACAAAAGTATATTTTGACAAATTATGTTTTTAGACTTTGTCACACAGTTTGCAAGAAACTCTGCTCTTCATGTACTAGAAAACAAAGATTCAATAAACAATCTTTCAAAAAAAGGGGAGCATTTATAAAACTTTAGTTATTGTGTCTTTATTCTCTTCATCAAAAGATTATTAAATGATGAAAAAATTTTAAAATATAGATACACTTGTAATTATAAATATCAATCATTTCACCTTCACAGAAGGAAGGAAGTAGGCTTCAGATTCTTCTTCCTTCGCAAACTCTTCATTGTTGTCCATAATCTTCACAGTCAAGGGCACCACTTTAAAGTAAAGTTCGACCTCCTGGTTGCCATCAATGCGCAGGTCTTGACGGGCATTGATCGTGATAGTCACATTATCCCCTTCTGTACTGTATCTTTGTGAGGGATAGGGGAAGTACACTTGAGGTATGGGCTCATCAATTCTGGAACCCTTCAGGCATCTGCAAGGTGTCAATGCAATACATAAGTTTCCATTTGAGTTTAGCACTTTGCTTTGGACTATAATTATATTCCAACAATGGGAAATGTGAGAACAAAAGCTCAAAATGTTGAGGTTATATAGAAGGTAGAAACTAGAACCAAGAAACAATATTATGACATTGAATCTTATTGGACAAGAAGGTAATTTTGTGTGGTAATCATCATCACATTTGTCTATGGTGTATACATCAATAACCACACTTCAAAACAAAACAAAATGAAGCTTTTTTTATCAGCCTGTTTCCAGAAAGCCAAAGTGGAAAAATTGTAGTATTGTTGAACGCATAAAAACTATTAGTGTTGTGGAAAAACTGTTACAATCATCAAAACTTCACATGTGTCACGATGATGTGGAATCAGGTGCTCGTCAATTTTTGGGCATATGGAGTCATTGGTATCACTTAAAGCATGTCCATTTGTCTTTCTTTTGATGAAAAAAATCATCCATCTATCTTCAGTAGAAGTTGAGATATTTCAGATTGAAGGAGGTTAAGGTCACTTGGTTTCAGAAGTAAAATTAGAGAGAAAATGGCTGCCAAAGTTTGGTGACCTCCAAAGCTTGAGAGTCCTTAGAAACTGAAAATTTACATTTTTTTGTGCCTTTAATCAACAGTTTCCAGTATAATCCACTCAGCGATGTGTTTTTAATGGACATAAAAGGCATTGAGCCAAAAAATAAAAATTTGATAAAAACTGCCGAACAGGGAAAAAATGCCATTTTCTTTGATTTCATTACTTTGAAGAGTGCCTGATTTTGCCACAATGCCTTGCGTATTAAATTGTCAACACTAAAAGGTCTCTTATTTTATCATCATTCATCTCAATTGCATTATCCCCAACAAACAATCAAACAAGTTACATAAATCTTGGTCTGTGATATAATCTTATTCTCATGCAAAATCATCATGTTTGTCTTAGTCAGCAAGATCTCTGAATATTTTAAAGAAACTGATGAAACAAACAAAATTACAAGACTGAAAAAGAAACAGTATTTTAAACCACCCATCACACATCCTTTCCACATAAATTTTAAGATAACTCAATGGCAGATACATACCACCAAGAACCAACAAAAAAAGATTCAAAAGAAATTTCCTGTCAACTGCGATAAGGCTGCTGTTAAAATGAAGATTGCTGCATATTGCAGTTGATTTGTAAAAAAAAATAAAGGCTCATTATATATACAAATATAATTATACAACTTTTAAAAATCTGTGATAAATTCCTGTGTGTGGTTTCTGATCTGATGTGACATATCGTATTATTGTCAGCTTTCCTTTTTCTTTTGTATTAAATTTCTTGAAAGTAATGTACAATTATGATTTTATGTATATCTCCATGTGTTTTTACAGTTCAAGAAAAGCCTCGGAAGATTTCCTACCAGGGGCGATAAGTTAATATCTTATTTTATCTTATCTTAATAATGAGAGACAGGGCAACTTTGAAACCAAAATTTCTAGGTGAAATATTGCATCCAATACCCAAGGGCATATTGCACTCTATGCTGTTCTCGTTTGTATCCCAGATTTGTTCTTGAATAGTACGGGGTAGGTAGAGCACAACAAAATGGACTAATCTGTGGAACACTAACCTGGGAACATCACTGTCTTTGACAGGTCCAGACTCGACCTTGATATAGAAGTCGCTATTGCCACCTGCTAACTTCCAAAGAAAAACTGTGGGAGATCCAGCCTCTGAGATGTACATCTCAGTGGAACTTCTGTCTACAGACTAGAGAAAAAGAAAATGTTCCTGGTACTACAATAAAAAGAGTAATGTAATAAAAACAGATAATGTATTATAATGGAAACCTAAATTTGTTCCGACTGGTTCAGAATTTGATCTATCATCTTGTATAAAAGCATCTTTTCCATCCATTCATCTTCATACATATTATAATGACATTTATCTTATTTTAATAAGAGTAATTATTTCATCTCTAAATTACTATTAAGCAAATGTGTGAGTGTGCATGTGTATGTGAGTGTGTGTGTGTGTGTGTGTGTGTGTGTGTGTGTGCGTGTGCGCATAAGTGTGTGTTTGTTTGATGAGCATGGTTTTTTGTTGTTTTTTTGGGGGGGGAGGGGGGGTTGGTAAGTGTTTTATGGCGCTCGCAACTGCATAAGGTCACATGAGCGTGCGAGACACATTAAACATTTTCAGTTGATAGGAAATTTTGAATTTTGCCTGGGTGACGGCTGAAGCCTACTCTTATCGATTTTAGAACACCAAGGGATCTTTAACGAGCGCAACTTGCACATGGGACCTCCGAGATTTTTCGCCCTTGTCCGAGAAGGCTATAGGTGTAGATCTTTCCTACCAGAAGATCAGGGGTGTGGCTGAAAGACAGCAGTAAGAAGGAGCCAAGGAGTAGTACTCGGCGTCACTTTTCGCCCGATTCTGTTACCTTTAGTAAGCGTGACTCAGCAGCCTGCCGGACCTCCCCGGCTCGAGGCGACTTTGCCGGTGTCGGTTAGGAAGTCCGCATTTTTGACTATGTTTAAAACGATGGATGTACTAAAAGCTCAATGTCTTGAGATTTATTCTGCGTTAGAATGGTTAATTTCTGTGCCTTAGTTTTTGTTTTAGACAAGTGTTTGTAGAGTACCCGATTTGTCCTATTTTAGTTACAAACTTTCGAATAAATGATTGTTAATTCTAAAAAAGCATGACAGATCTCTCCAAAATCTGTGTTAAACTGACTACGGAGATCATGTCTTTTACCATGAGAAATCTTAAATCTGTGCGAGTAGTAATAGTCAAGTTATAGGAGAAGAAAGATGCACATCTGCATTTTTTAACTAAAGACGATCTGCGTTGGCTCTTATTTTACTATTAAACCAGAGAAAGTTACTCTGTGGTTGTTCATGAATCATGCTGTGTCTGTGGCAGCCTGAATACAACTAAAAAGATATAATATAAGCGATTAAAGAATAACACAAAACCGTGTAAATACATGGGTAGAGATAAACTTCTTGTATGGAATAAAAATAATGACAGCTAAAACATTCATTCTTAGTTTTTGTGTCGGAAACATTCGCGAACACATTTATGTATGTAAAGAAATCAGTCACCTTGTCATTTATTGCAAAAAGTCATAGAAATGAAAAATAAAGCTGGAAAAGTCTAGTGCTGATTCAGTGTCCCTGGAAAGCTAAAAATTATTCCTATAACCTAATTACGGGAAGTCATCCCTATTATTCACTCAACTTACAAAACTTAGACTTAGCGTTTGAAGAAAAGTAAGGAATATCTGGGTGTAACAGATACTGTTCGTGTATTACATTGAAGATGTATGCTAGCACTAATATCGATTTGTACTTTTCATAAAGAAACTTCATGGTAACTTTCATAAACATTTGAGAAAATATGCGAATATTCACGATTATATTAGACACATAAAGTTGTATTTGGAGGCATTACTTCATACCGAATTGTGTGCCCCATAATTAAAGTTGCAAAATTACAGCTTTCTATTATATGTGCAGGTACCATCTTTTCTGAGTATCTGCACCAATGCTATGTTGTTCATGTTCCAAAAGTTCGACAAATTTTGTAGAGGCCTTTTTTTAATACTGATTTTTTTTCATTCACGCTAGTAAAAAAAAAAATTACAATTTAGCACTGCCGACTCCAGCGCGTCTAACGAATTAACCAGACAAGTTACAACGTCTGTTCTTTTTTTTAGTCTTAAGAGCAGAAATGCGTGCTTTGGGTGCACTAAATGAGAATTACCATAAATACAAAGATACACCTAAAATTGTATGTTGAAAAGTAGCAAAAATTAAGTCGGCCCAGACAGAACGGCGACAGAGAGCTGACCCCCATGACTCCGACGTGATAAGGCGCCCAGCGGGGAAATCCCAGCGGAAACTAAAATTCCACTGCCGGTGCACCGTGAGTAGTACATATGCTGCAGAAAGAGTTGGGAGCCCAGAGGAGGGGGCAAAGGAGGTGGGGGTAGAAAGTGGAGATGAAAGCAGACGACAGAACATACATTGCTAGAGACCAGGAAAGGAGGTGAAAGGAGACCATTTTAGAGAAGAAATTTTTTCCGTCGCTACCCAGATTCGAACCCGGGACCTTTGAAAGAGAGGCGAACACCTTAAACTCTAGGCGACGAGAGTCCCCTGGGCATGTTTGACTACTCATTTAGTTCACAATCGTGTACATGATTAAGTGCCTTGATATGTACATGCGTTCCAGAATGTGTGTGCCTTTGCGCTGTATGCTGACACATGGGGGTGTAAATTAATTTTAAGAATAGTTTTGAGTATTTGAATTGAAATCAGAAACAATACCTGCAGGTAGACTGTGGTGTTGCAAGTCGGCTGGAACCAAGTCTCATTCTTGGGACAAGTGCTTATGGCAAATGAAGAGACACAACGGGCTCTCTCTTTTGCAATCCTGAATAGAAAGGAAAAGAAAATTGTATGTGCACCACATCCAGTAAATAAATCAACATCGCTACACAGATGGGCTTAAATGATACCCTGGACTAATGAGCTCTTTTGGGAAATGGCTTTGGGCAACATTCTGAGAGTGAAGCGTATTCTACTTCGTTTCTTGGAATCTGCACTATGGTTTGGGGTGAGTGCAGTATCTTACTAGTCATAACATTTTGGTACTCTTCTAATTGGGGAAAGGTATGCAAAAAAGAGTTGCATCTTTCATTTATTTCCTGAAAAGCTCAAAACTGACAGCATCAACTAAAATACTAAAAACCTGCTATTCTGACAGCTGTTAAACTACATCTGGTTAACGTAAAGGCCTTTAAAATCTAAGTAGCCAATTTTGATGGCTCAACCATCATCATCACTCGGTGATGCTCTGGAGCCATAATCTTGATTAGGCATGAAAGAGATCTGAACAGAAAGTAGAGTACTAACACAGACATGATGCCTCCACTGTGCCAGAAAGGAAAATATATGTGGCAGAACACAAAAAACACCATTGAGAGTATTTTGCACTTAACTTCATGCAAATGCCTTCAGCTGTTCAAAAGTTGTGATCACTTTAATGACGTAGGGTAGAAAAACTATACACACACTTTAGAAAAAGGCGTTTAGTCTATGATGGCTATACCGCAAAGATTTTGGGTAGGGTCAAGAAAACATAAAGAAAACATATTTAAACTCTGATTTCGCAGAAGTTTTTATTTTAAAATGATCCAAAAGATAAACATATCAAATTGCCCGGCATGACTACAATTTCTTGTAGATGACTCCTTATTGGCTTTAGCCTCACCGGAGACAGCCCCAGTGAGAAGCTATGGTTTCTTGTACCGTGGCACAGATGTCCTACTAATGACATCCCACCCTCAGGTTGTGACATAGCTGACTTTCTCAAATCCCTGTATACTCAGGGGGGGGGGTTGTTTTTCGGGGAATCTGCCATCATCACATACCAACAATATCCTACCAATACCAGACCTGGACATTAAGTAAAATCTATGAAGGCAAAACGACTGCATGCGAGATGAAATGTCACAGCAAAACCATAAACATGACAAGAAGAGACAGGCAGAGAAATGAAGACGTAGGAGCAAGCATTGGCACTGTGTCCTGCATATTATATTTCCTAGAAAAGCAAACAATAAAACAGCCCGGCCCTCTTTTTAAAAGGTCAACTAGTCAGCCACCCTCGAGAACTTATAACACGAAGTATCCAAGCTACAGATAAAATGGTAGGCCCCACAAACGATGGGTTGAGGGACTCAAAGGAGCCCTGAGAAACTACAATATCTCTATTGACAAGCTGCAGAGTTGGCCTACCATAGAAATAATATGCTCAAATGCAAACAAGAGGGAAAAGTGTGGTTTTAAAAAGTATGATCATCAGACCAGTGCCAGGGTGACAGTTACAACCTAAGAAAGTATATATGCATGGAGAGGACACCTCAAACACCTTTATTTAAGAAAGTAAATGATACAGTGTGTTTTTTGAGTACTTACTGGCACACTGTTTTGTTCATTCCATTGATTGTAGAAAAGCAGCTTTCGATCTTTGCATCAATAACATTGCAAGCAGGGTCCTTGTATTGGCAGTTTGAAGGGTACAGATCATCTGAAAATAATAGTCGGGGAAAGGGCTTTCAAACTGCTCTCTGTAATTTAGGTGAAAGCTAGAGAATGTACTCTGGAATAAAATTAGGACTTTAAAAAAATTGTGCAGGTAGAGAGAGAAAGAGAGAGAGAGAGAGAGAGAGAG